GGAGGGGCTCTCGGCGATGGGAGTGGGGAGGTTGTTGTTGTTGTTGTTGTCTTGCTGGTCGTTGTCGTGGTGCTTCTGCCACTCGCCGCGGAGGAGTCTGCGTTCTTGCTCGAGAGAGGAGAGATCGTAGCTGGGCTTTGGAGGCACGGGGACCGCGCGCGGGCTCCGTGCGGTCTCCGGGGATTTTGCGCGGGTGGCATCGTCCCGTTCGCGCTCGTACTGTCGCTCGCGCTCCTTGGCTCGCTCCAGTTCGTGCTCCAGCTGGCGGATGCGGTGTCGCTCCTGGGATTCCGACGTCGCGGCGGGTTTGCCGGCCCCGGCGACCATGCTGGCTTGGTACTGGCTGAGGAACTGGCCGTTGAGGCGGCTGTCCTGCGCTTCGCGGCGCTGGAGTCGCTCCTTCTCCAGCCGTGCCTCCGTCTCGCGCTCCTCCTGCTGGCGCTTGTCCTCCTCTTCTTGCCACTGGCGCTGTTGCTGGTCCCAGCGTTGGCGCTCCGCCTCCACCTGCAGGCGCTCTTGTTCGCGCGTCCGCGCCGTCTCTTCCTCCCAGCGGCGTTCTTCCTCGAGACGGGCCTGCTCTTCCTCGGCTTCCTGCTGCTGTTGGCGGCGTCGCTGGTCCTCCAGCTCCTGCAGCCGTCTTCTCTCCTCCTCGTCCCGCCGGCGCTTCTCCTTCTCCGCTAGACTAGGGACGTGGGGCGCGGCGGTGGTGATCTGGCGCCGCGCGCCGAACGCAACACCCTGATTGCCCTGACTGGCTCCGCCCATGTAGCCGTATTGGTGGATGTTCCAGGCCGGGGCCGTGCTGTGCTCGTCCGACTTCTTGCTCCAGGTGCTGACCGGCTGCGGAGATCGCGCTGGGCTGGAACGACCCGAATTGCTACCGCCCAACCCAAGAGACTTGGTGGGGGTATAGGCACCTCCCTGACTGGACCCTGTCACATGTGGACTGAGCGAGCTGCCCTTGGACTGCGGTCCAATGGCGTAGGTGAATTTGCTGGGCTGGAGAGCGTTGGCCCGTCGGCTGAACGAGGTCAGACATTGGAGCACTTGGGCGGGGTCCTTGGCCTCGTAGAGATCGACAGTCAGGAATACGTCATGCGGGGGAAGGCTGAGAGGAGGCATTTGGCAGGCGCGCAGGAAGTGCGAGATGTTTTCCATCTGCACGAACGGCATGGATGACTGCTTGTATTTGACGCCCGGCGATACGGCGAGGTTTACGAGTCTGTGAGCGGGCTGACGTTCAGTTTGCGATTCCCATACGGAAGAAGGCTGTTCTTCATCGGACAGAGTTCCGGGTCTTACCTGCAAAGAGCCACTCCATCTTTCAGGGCTTCCAGAAGATCCCCTGCCGGGAGTTTCTCATGGAGCACTTCTTCGATCCAGCTGCGGACTTCCGCGGCTGCTTGCGGGGTATAGCGGGACAAGCGCAGATTGCGCAAGTCCTTATCCAGGGATGTGACGGAGGCCATTTTTTTGGATTACCACACTCAGCCGTGTTTGCTCACAGAAGTGTGAAGCATGTAGAAAGATTCCAGAAGAACCGAAGATGGCGAGTCAGCGCTGAAATAGGGGTGGAAAGGGGGGGCAGTGTAGGGTTTCTGTTTATATAGTGCCTAACTGCGAGTGGGACGAACCACGGTACGTCACAGGGGGGGGGGGGGGGGGGGGGGGGGGGGGGGCCGGAGGGGAAAGCCCGGGGGCAGAAGGGGGGGGGGGGGGGGGGGGGGGGGGGAGGTGGCTTAGGACTCTAGGAGAAGACTCGCGGATCGAACGGATGCGAGATTGGAATGGAATGCGAAGGGACCAGTGCAGAATGATTGAATTGGAGGATTATGTTATGCAAGTCAGCAGAAGAAAAGAGACACTCTCAGAGCAGACCGATGAGGACAGGAAAGTCAAAGTAGAGAAGAGAGTCAGTGTCAGTCAGTCAGTCAGTCAGTCAGTCGCACGGCGAAAGGGAAAACGAGGGCAACAGGCGGAATGCGGGAATCTTGGCCTCGTAATACGCCGCCAATACGGTCTTTCTCGTCCTGCTCGTAAGTTACCGGCCGGTATGCGCCGATGACGTTCCGGCCGCAATAATAATAATTGATTATTGCCATCCCAAATCACTCCCTTCTGAGTGGATGAAAGACCGCATCTCATCTCACACACGCCCCCGTTGCTGCCTGACATCTTTGCTCCCAGGCATTATCTGGTTTGCGTCGGGCAAATGAGTCCCATTAACAGTCTCTGGTTCAAGTGGAAGAGCCTGAAATTGCCGTGGCGCACTTCCTTTCTCGTCGGTATGTCCGCTCCATCAAACCGCATGAATACAACAACAATCTGACTTTGAGACTCGCACCGCAGGCCATGATTTGAAGGGAAATACCTATTGGGAATTCAAAGATGCCCTGAACGCGAATCGATATCGTCGCATCGTCAAATGTGACCCCAAAACCCACCTCTCCGATGTCCAAGTCAGCCGTAAGTGCTTCCTCAACGTTGGGTCAAGCCTGCAGTGGCGCTTTCAACCCCCAAGACAAGTCCCCCAGCAAACTGACCTGTTCTTTCGTCCAGCGCAATGGCACCAATGGCTTCGATACGTACGAGCGGAGCCTCCGTCGATCGAAGAACAGCAACAGGACATCATCCGACAGATTCAACTCAAGGAGTTGGCTCGTCTCGCTGATGAACGATGGGCGAGCAAGGTATCTTATCTCGACAAGCCGAAGACTCAGCAACCCGCCCCTGCTACCCAGACCAGCGACGCGACGTTGAACCCTCCGAAGGATGAGGCGCAGGCTAACAAGGCTACCCCTGCTGCTCCTGGGAACGAGAAGAAGGAGAAACCAGCTTCAAAACAAGACCCTTGGGCAAAGGCCGCCAGTGGACCTGGTGAGAAGTGGCAGCCGGATTCTTGGAATCCGACCTCTTCCCAGAGATGAGCTGGTTTGTTGCTTCGAACTTCGACCTTAATCGCCCTGGTCATCGATTACGATCCCAGGTCGCGTGCATTATGCGAATTATGCTACCAGACTAGCCGTGCATCCTTCAAAGCTGCTGAGATCCTGGATGGCCGTCTTGGTGCTTGCAGAAATCACCCTCTCCACACTCTCTACATTTTTCTTCAGAGATCATGGGAATTGATCAGCGTTCCTCGCCAGATCGAGGAGTCATCGCGCCGTGCCGTTGTATAACGAGAGGCGCATTAGGCACCGGTCTTGCATGGCGAGAACTCCTTGATGCAGGGACTTGCAAACACCTTGTGTCAGCTCGAGCGGCATTGTATATTACCTACTTTAGAGTGTATGTACTATGGTTATTGAGCTAAGCAGAATGGGTCTATGGCGTTCTGCCGGGTATCGCAATGAATTCGAATACCAAATATGATATCCCGAGGAGTACTGGAATTAGGGGTGGTAAATTTCTCTCCCAAAGGTAGTTAATGTGTCGTCTTGAGATATATAGTCGGACTCTACGCATCCACAGGAACGGCAAGGTCCACCCCCGACTGGTAACCTAATGAAGACCCTTCAATTTTGCACAAATAGATCTTCAATATCCCGGGATCATCTATAGCCAAAGAATAAATCGAATTGACAGATCAATAGACAAATCGTGGTCACGGTGATGCAGAGTGGACTGCATAGAGTACTGCAGTTCGGACTTGAGATTTGCCGTGCTGACTCAGGATGACGACGATCCGGCAGATTTGCGAGTGCAGTCCCTGTACGCTAAACTCTTCCGGGAATTTCCGAAGCCGGGCCGACAAGCAGGCCGGAAGGAGAGGCAACAAGCCCAAGTCAGGTGCCCGGTGATGACGGAAATCTGACAGTCGAGGTTCGCCTTGTTTCTAATCCCTTTCCTCTGCCCAAGCACTATCATCGGTGCCATTTCTCATCTTTTCCAGACTCTTCTCGACCTGGAAGTTACGTCGAGCTGCATATGCCTGTTTAAAAAGATATTGTCTGCGAGAACTGCTGACGGGTTTTGCTCATTACCCCTCGCCTCCTCGCCCCTTTGCCCCCGCTTCACCATCACCAACCACTCCCCAACGAAAAGTGGGCATAAGAATCTAGCGCCTGCGCGTCGTTCATCCGTCCCTGCCCCTCACTCACTGAGAATCGATCTGCCGCTCCCTGGGCTCTTCACCCATCGTCAAGATCTTCATTGCTCACCCTCGATACTGAGGAGAACGTTCAGCCACCACGCGTCGCAGTGTTTGATCCTTCGTCACATACTGCGCCTTTGACCTAGTCGCTCAAAACCCAGCGGTCTACAGTCGTACAGTCTATATGTATCACTCGAAATCATCCATCAAACACGATCGCATTTTGAAGGAAGGAGGATTGAAATACTGTCATCTGATTGCATACAACTGGAACGACTACGCGTGCATGTGTCACAACCTCTACCACCATTGAATTTTGAAGCGAACTAATTGAAAACCAACATGTCTATCAACGTTATCTTTGTTCAGGGCCTTGCCGGCTCTCACTAGGTGAAAATCTTCACCCAGTTTTTGTGCTTCACGATGGACTCCTTCAAAACCATTGGGGGCCTTGAAAGCCACGGTTTGAACGTGAAAAAAACTTTCTTTGTTCACATTCTATAAAGCAACATCTCTGTTCCCAGTCGCCAGTCGCCAAGACAGGTACGGGTGGGATCTAAACCTTGTACGTTTACATCTCATTGTCACAGGACAAACCAGTCCTTTGAGCTACCGGCGCGGAAAATCCGGGGAAGCCGGCCAGCATCCGGACACTCATCGCATCGCCATGAGCAGCCAAAACATGAACAGGAAGTCATGGGAGTCCCTGTCATCGACATTCTCCCAATTGGAAATCTCCATCTCCCATGACAGCTGCTATGCCTCTGATGAATACTCTGCCCCCGCAAAACCTACCACTGCTGTCCACACTCTTGAGGCTCCCTCTCTGGTGCCCGCGGTAGCGGCGCCTCTCCAGTCGATCTTGAAGCCGATTCTGAAAAGACCATATTCAGAAATCGAAGAAGACGAAGAAGAGGCAGAGTCTGGCTACGCATCTGAGGAATCTGAATACGGTTATGACAGTTTTGACGAATCGGATGATGACATGTGTGAAGTCTCAGATTGGGATGAAGCTTCTGACATCATGTCTCAATTAGATGGGGAAGACGACGATGTCGCGTCACTAGACGGCTCGTTTATCATCGAATTCGGCGGAGCTCATGTTCAGTTCGATGCGAACATATGCTATATCGAAGCGCCAGAGCTAGAGGAAGATGATGAAAGCCCCGAGGCTGGACTGACTTGCCACGAGTTGATGGAGATGGCACGAAAGTCTGGTAGCCTGCGGCTACAAGAGGGTACAGGTCCTGGAGACCACCCTGAGGACTGCGAGGACGACGATAGTCTGATCCTGGAAACCTTGAAGCAGCTCCCGGAAGAGCACCCCGATGATGTTGTTGACCTGGACAAGAGTCTCTTCGTCGCCTACATGAATGGTATCAATGGGCTTACCGACCCACAATACAAGACTCGCCTTCGCAGCCGCGTTGACGATATAAAGTCTGGTCGTGCACACACGCCATATCTAGACGAGGATGGAACCACTGGTGCATACATCGATAACGCGCTCAACCACGTTATCGGAGTCTTCCGCAACATCGTCGCCGAGGAGGAGTTCAACGAACTTGTTGACCTCAGCCACGTCAAGGGCAGCTCCACCGGGCCGAGTGGGAGCATTAACCAGAAGCTCTTGACCAAGCTTGAGAATATCCTCTCCGAGAGACTGGCCTCCAATGCCGTCAATATCGGGCCTGACGAGTTGAGCTTCTTCACCAGTGGGCTTGCTTACGCTCTAGACCACTGGACCAGTTACATGACGCGATGAATATGAGACGCTGTCCATGAAGAATCACGAAGAGAAACAAAAAAGCACCAAAATGTGAAAAAAAAAGAAGGCCAAGAGCCGAAAGATGTCCAAAGGGCCTAAATCGTTGTTATTTCATTTGCCATGGCCTAAATATCAAAAGCATTTCGCAAAAGCTTACGAGCGGGGATTGTAGCATCACTAATGATTATGAACCCGAAATATTCTTCTAATATCTCATCAAACACAACTTCGTAGGCGTACAGTGCAGTCCACCACTCATCCAGTAGTAAGTAAGCACAACTCCTGATCCCGGCAGGATTGCGCCTATAATCCGACAAGAATATAGTTACCTTCCGACATGGTCGATCTTAATTGCCACGCATAAGGCCACCATCCACTCGCCACCCTGCCTGCCGCTTTCCAGGAATTTTTTCGAAACGTTGACGCTGGCTATAACACATGATCATATTATACTCACTCCGTTAAGACGCCATGGGTAATTATGCAGTGCCCTACAGTACTCCGTACACGTCCACCCCTCTCTGGCAGCATTCCATCAAACTGAAACACTTGAAGTAAGAGGGTGCCAAACGTTATGAGCGCAGGGCTAGATCCGGTCGATCGCTGAATTGAGTTCTGCGCCAATAGGAATCAATCGATCGTTGTACTGTTTCTCATTGGGGGACGGTAGTCTAGAAAATCTAGACTTTGGATGGGTAGTAGTCGAGACGCTAGGCTCCCAGATTACCTCGTAGGTGGCCGTGAGAGGAAGAGGAAGAGGAAGAGAGAGAGAGAGCGAGGGGAGAGCGAGGCTCTGGATGCAGGATACCAGTAGATCAAGGGTTTCGGGGAGTCCGTCGTGCTACATCCGCTCTGGTTCACGAACGGGAAGCCGACAATGTGGATGTTGGGTTCGAGAAGGCTGGGTTGGTGTACTACAGTATATGCGCTGATGTCAGATCTCGTTGAGCAGATCCAGTGATAGCCGTGAAGGAGTTGTTGGGTTGTAAGTGAAGAAAAGTAACTAGGTACCTACTAACGTTACGAGGTATACCTACGGCATAACTATGCTCTATCGGGAATGGCAGGAAGGGCCACTGCACTGCACTGCACTGCAGGGCATGACGTTGGGAGGAACGCGACGGAAACTTGATACATCCAGTCACATCATACTCGAAAACTCCTGGTGCTGAGAGTTGACCCCTGCACGCTACTTACTACCTAGGTTCTCACTATAGCATATGCTTGTACTCTGTGTACATGTGCATATTCATGCAATCACACATTTTTGATGCATCGCAGCATCCTTCAGGCGCTACTGCGCGTATCGCCAAGATCCTGTCCTCTTCATCCCTACGTCCCCGAAAATCATGATGTCTGGATTGTGTTGTGCTTGGTTGGTTGATCGATCATGCCGTGTATAAGCAGTGGGTAAGTTAATGGCTGTCTGCTTACTGCTTACTGCTTTCTGACAGGGAAGGGTCATTCGTGGCGGGATTGAGGGTGACATCCATGTTTTGTTGGTTTTGAGGTTGACGAACGTGTTTCGTTCGTTGGGGTCCGTTTATACATGTATGGGGGCCGGTTGGGGGCGCCTTGCTTGGTTGCATCTGGACTACAGTAGAATGGCCTTGTATCAGCCCCAGCTCCAGGCTTAGTCCGATGGTGGCCCTGCTTTTCTGCCTGCCTGCCGGCCTGCCCTGTGCGTAGGGTTGGGGGCTGCATGTACTGTACTGTAGGTGTAGTGTGGTCGAGGTCAATGCACGCAGGGAAGGATTTATAGTAGGTAGGGAGATAAGGTAGTCTCGGCAGGATGTGTAGCTGGGAGCTTGATGCTTATAGTTATGAGGTTACTTGTTTGAGTGGTGACTACATGTGTGGGCTGGGGAGTTTGGGTCTAGTTGTTGCGCTTTGGGGATGAGGATACACCTGTTGGCTTTGTTATGCTATCGGGTGTAGCAGCCGCTTCCAGCCTGGAGGTCATCCATCCATACGGGATCCTGTGTGCTGATCTGGTGGGTATATGGTCAAAATCCGCGACCTGGACAATAAACGGCTCGAGGAGTCATGAAAAAGCATTTAAACGC